ACGACAAAGTGGATGCAAGTTTTCACGAGGGGAAGAGAGGATGGTGATACAATTGCTACCAGTACAATTTGGGAACAAGTGGGAGAAAATCGCAACCTATCTGCCAGGGAGAAGAGACAATGTTCTGAATAAAGAACTTCTGGAGCACTAGGCGAAAGAGGTTGTAGAGAATTTTGCAGAATCGACAATGTTCTTCTGATCAACTTCTGTGCAACTATTATTTGGTGTCTTGGTAACTTTGCTTTAAGAAAGGGAACTCTTGCTGAATTACTGAGACAATTGCTAGTTTGATATACAAGAAATGAAGGATTCTGGGCATCATCAAATGCCCAATACGCATGCACATCCCTTTTCTTCAACAAACATTTTCTTTTAGTTGTTGACCATCAACAAAATTACTTCTTTATACAATGTGATAGTGGAATATAGACCTAGTCTATACCGCCAGCTAAAACGACCATAAAACCCATATAAATAAACTGACATGATTAAGAAATTTACTAACTCCAATGGTGATGCAGTATCGGTGTATCACCTCCCAAAGTAATATAATAATGCCAAAACTAATCACACGTCCAATTCTCTATTAAATCGAAGATTTTCACAGCTGCACACCAAGCACTCATGATACAGCAGCTTCCTCTCCCCTAGCAAGCAATTCGTGGTTGACCATACTCCAAATAGAAAGAAACCTGAAAGTCAAAATAAAATAGGATTTAATTAGTGGAGATCCCATGACACTGATAGAAATCCTCCTTTTCATACCTCAGTTACTTGCATAACGCACTGGAAATACATGTTGCACAGTCATCTTTGTATAAAATGGTTGAGCAAAAAGGTTAATTCTCACTACCAATACTTACCGGTGAAAAATGTTACACCCCGTTTTTCTCTTGTCGCTTTTGGTCTCAGCAACTTCATACCTTCCCTGCGATTTGAGTTTGAAAAGTTTTGTACCACGGTAGCCTCTACCCTCTCCAAGAGGTTAGTAACCTATGAACAAATGTGAATGAAACAGTGACTGAAAAAGCATCCCGCCTCTTTAACAAGTTACAGGAAGAAAGTATTAGACAGAAGATATTCACAAAAAAATGGCATATATTGAATTCCAAATGCTGAAACGACTAATGATAGAGCATCAACAAATACGTCTGACAAACCTCATCAGAACTGCCAAGATTAGAGTTGTCTATACTATTAGCGTATGTATGATCTGGCTGCTCTCCTCGATGTGATCTGTGGTTATTAGAATGGATTTTTCATCAGAATACTTTGTTGAACGGGGATATACGCAGAATTCTGATACAGTTAGGTTTGAAGTGTATGTCTTACCTTCTCATACTTTTTCATAATCTTTGAAAATGCTGAGAGGTTCACAAAACTGGTTCGTCCATTTGCAAAAGTATAAGTACATAATACTTTGACAACCCACTTGAATTGGAGCATATACATGCACATATAGTAGAGAATGATCTTATTTCTGCATTTATCTGAAGCGTCAGCTCCACTTGACTTAGTACTTGTCAGGGGCACTGCAGAATTGATATGTCTCTTTGAATTGGAGCCATATTGATCTGGATTCTTCACCTTTATCCCGAGTGCAACAAAAACGTCCATTTGTTTATCCAAATGATTTGCTTCTAGCTTCACCTCCTCCACCTTGTCCCTGTAAAAAGTATTGACCTCGTTGAGTTCTTCATCGAGTTTTCTGAAGAATGTTACCTCAGTTTCTCCACCCTCTTCCGAATGCCTCAGGAACTTGGTGTTGTAAAACTGCCTGGAACCATCTCCATGCAATGTGTTGACATCAATTATAGCTCTATGCCACTGATGATGGTTCTGCCAGGGGGAGGAGGTTTGGGGTCTAAGTCTTCAGAGTGCTTCCTTTGTTTGTATTCTCTGAGCGCCCTTAGTATCCTCTTGAGAGTCTGAGACCATTATAATCCATGTAGGCTTCCACCCAGTCAGGCACCATTTGTTTCTTTAATTAGTTTAATCCATTAATTGAAGTATGAAAACTAACATACTGAGTTTAATCATGATGCAGAGGATCCACAATATCATCATTCTTCAAACAATGGCAAGTAATAAAAACCCGAGTCCTTTTTAATAAATTATCAGCTGCAAAATCCACCTTACAAAGTTTGGGAGTCCACAATTGAGAAAACACTCTCGTCATCCTCTCTGATGCATATTGTCATACCAAGTCGTGCACGCAATACAACCTTAGCTAGCATCACTTTCCTGCCGAATAAAATCTGGGCTTGGCATTTGATTGAATAACGACTGGGCACATCTGACATACCCAAATTGATCAACCCCTTTAAACTAATCAATTTGAAGATCATCGGTGCCACGTTTTAATCCGGCCGTCTAATTTCATCCAACGGCTGCGAGCTGTCCGCAAATAACCTTCCGCAAGAGAGAACGGCTCTAGGAAGAGCAATGAGAGCCTTTGTTTCCAATTTCCTGATTATGCCGTAATTTCCTATATTAGAATTAGGATTCCTAATTAATATAGATTTAAACCCTAGGTATTCAATTCTCTATAAAAAGAACAAAATCGTCGAGAGAGTTAGAGAGAAGAGCAAAGACACAGTTTTTAATAGCAAAAGATATTGGAGGATACTGCAATCGTTTATTTGGGATGGGAAAGCAACAAGTTTCAGTTGATGGAATACAAAAGGAACAAAAACATAAACTCAACCCCGACAAGGATTTGGTGGTGGTATGTTTTGACTACGTTCCTATTTTTATTTTATGTTATTCTATTTTGTGTTCCATCGATTATGTTCATGTGATGTGTGTAAAGCTACAGATATGATGTTGTGGTTATTTATTTTGCAGAACAAAGATGGAATTTTCATACAATACGAGATTAATTATGACCCATCCCAGATCTACTCTACCGGAAAAATCTACTTCAAAAATGGCAAAGAAGGAGAAGCTCGATTTTTTAAATTTAAAATTTTAAATTCGAAAAATAGGAAGAGGACTTAGCAAAGAAGACATTTACCCTGACTTCCAAGTTAGCAAATTATGATCGGCGTGTGGGTGTCTTGAAACCTCACTTCCTCACCTATTATGAACCACAAAATATTTGGATTTTGTGCTACGAAAAATTCAATCATCTTCTAAGTGAAATAAAAATTAATGCTGAGGATTTTGTCAATGGCGATTCTCGGATTCTATCTTTTTGGTGGCGCAGTTCCATACGGTAAAATATATTCATGCTCATATATATAATGTATCGTATAATAATTAGTACTGACGTAATTTTTTTAAATCTATTTGTGCAGGGACCTTTTACGAACGATAAAGCATATGCATTCTTATAAGTTGTTTCATAAGGGTTTGAATGGAAGTGACAATTATGTTGTTGTTTCCGGTCGAGTCAAGATTATTAACATCCAAAGTAGTTTTGAAGATCTTGAAGATCCTCCTTCACAAGTAAATGCGTTGAGAATGAATGACTTAAAAGCATTTAGGAACATGTTAAAGGAAAAAATAATGTTGCCAGAAGATTCTTGGATTGATCGTGATTCTTTCTTTGATTTCTTTGACAAAGAAGAATATCCGTAAGTTCAGTGTACTTTCTTTTTTTCTTTTTTCTTTTCTACATGAAAAAGTATAATGTATTTTACTTAATTTGACTTACAAACCTTAGTGTTGAATTTTTGTTGCTTTTGTTTCCAGGTACCATATATTTATTGAGAAACTAGCAAGCCATCCCTTTTTATTAACTCCAGCTGAAAGAATGAAGAGTTTTTACAGTATACATGATTCTGCAAATGAAAGCAAGTTCAAGAGAAGATTAGATGGTAGGGCATTCTATGAGTATAGGGAATGGAATAGGAAAGATATGGTTCCTGAGTTCCAAAAGGTTTATAAAATTTTCAATTCGAAATATGACGGTGATTGTGTATGGGACCTTCTAGAATTTTTGAGAGATGTATATGAAGATGATAATCCTCGTGATTTAAATGCTGTGTACGCTGAGGTCGAAAGGTTGTACCCTAATTTCTTGGAGAAGATTCATGCCATCATATGAAGGTATAAAATCTATATTCTATGTGAATATAATACTCTTTTCTTTGGGCTTTTATCCTTGTAATTAGTTTCTCTTGGGCTTTTATCCTTCTATTGACTTGTTTAATTCTTTTGTTTTATGCAGATCATGGTATAGCTAGCCTCCCTTCCACTCAACTTGAAGATATGCTTTTTCTTGCTGTGGATTTGGGGACTTTTTTTTTAATCTTATGTGCTAAGAAATTAGAAGAAAATAAATTTTAGGATTTGGGAATTTTTTTTATCGCATAGTTTAGCCTTTAATTTTGAATTCTTCCTTACATCAGCGTAGTGCAAGGAACAACAAATACAATTTCATGTTTTGCTTTCATTGCAGAGACATCTTAGTTCTTCTTTCTTTTTTGGTCGATAAAAAAGAGACCTCTTATTTATCAAGATGAAATGCATAACCGTAATGTTTCCAAGATCCTTCTTGAAGTGCCTTACCTTCTCATACTTTTTCATAATCTTTGAAAATGCTGAGAGGTTCACAAAACTGGTTCATCCATTTCATATTTTCATCAAAGAACTCTAATGGAATGCCTGCTTTTAATCTTTGCTCAAAACTCCTTTTCATTAATTTTTCATACAAAGATTGATGATTTTATATATAAAAAAATTCTCCAAATGACAAAGTTGGCCTTTGAGATTAGATACGTCATTGAGGTTAATTTTGTCATTTGTATAAGTTTTTTTTTCCCAATAAAATCATCAATTTTGAACAAACAACCAACGAAAAGGAGTTTTGTGAAAACAAATTGAAACCTCAGGGGGTGTTCATGTAATGTTTAAGACATGGGGGGTATTGTAAAAATACAAGAAAGCTCAGGGGGTTTTCATACAAAGATTGATGATTTTATATATATAAAAAATTCTCCAAATGACAAAGTTGGCCTTTGAGATTAGATACGTCATTGAGGTTAATTTTGTCATTTGCATAAGTTTTTTTTTTCCCAATAAAATCATCAATTTTAAACAAACAACCAACGAAAAGGAGTTTTGTGAAAACAAATTGAAACCTCAGGGGGTGTTCATGTAATGTTTAAGACATGGGGGGTATTGTGAAAATACAAGAAATCTCAGAGTGTGTAGTGTAAATTACTCTAAAAAACAAACGATTCAAATCAAGAAAATGGACTAATTAAAGATGGAAAATCATGCTTAAAAGCTAAGTACAACACTAAAAAGGAAGTATACGTATATTTATGGGATTTTCTTGTTGCTTGAGCTAATTTCAAGAAAAGTTTCTTTTTGGAAAGATTTTAATTTAATTTCTCATGTCATATTTAACCACAACATAAATAATCTTTAAGATATTATTTTCCTGATATGGTTATATTTTTTTGGGAGTTTCACTAAAACACCCAAAATGGAGGTTGAAATTATAAAAAAACCCAACACCCAAAACACTTTATAAACACACTCAAAACCCATCATTACACACACTTAAAACCCATTTATAAACATACCCAAAAAGTTGACTTTGGGGTTGATTTTGGGTGTGTTTCTATGTTTAAATAGTGCTTGGGTTTTTTTATAAATACATGCCTAGGATTGGGTTTTTTTATAAATTTGTATATTTTTTTTATCAATAATTTAGGATTTTAATATATATTTTCTTATCATCCAAGTTTTAGGATATTAATTCCACACTTCCGTTTTCCACACGCACGCATTCTTCTCCTTTTTTTCTTTTTTGGGTGAACGTGCTTTCTTCTCCTTTTCTCTTGGGTGCCTTTTGTCTAGTTTGGGATGGAAAAGCAACAAGCTTCAGTTGATGGAATACAAAAGGAACATAAACATAAACTCAATCCCGACAAGGATTTGTTGGTGGTATGTTTTGACTAGTTTCCATTTTTATTTTATGTTATTCTATTTTGTGTTCCATGGATTATGTTCAATATGATGTTGTGGTTATTTATTTTGCAGAACAAGGATGGAATCATCATACAATACTGCTAGCTGATGTTAGTAGTGACACGTGTCCTTGGTGAGGTGGCAAGTTTGTTAGCCCTTCACGTGCTTAGTAATATGATTAGTTAGTCTGTTAAGTAGTCTGTTAAGCAGATTAGCTTATGGTTACACAGCTATATAAGCTTGAGTCTGTGGTTCATTTAATCACAATGTAAAAATACAGTTTCTGAGAATATACAGAGCTTTACTTTTCTCTCTTCATCACTTCTTCTTCTCCATAGTTATCATGGTATCAGAGCTTTGGCTCTTGATCTCCAGCTTCCGCTCCGCTTGAAAAGCTTGATTATGTACCTTTCATGGCGAGTTTCATGGAAATTTCGTGCTTGATGGAGATATTTCTGCACAATCTTGCGATTCTGGATGCGATTCTTCGCTTTTGTTTGAGCTTCTTCTTCTTTCATTAAATTCAGCTCTTGTATGAATTCTAAACTTGTTCTCTGCATCGACTTTGAATTTAGGTCAAATGATTCAGTGAATTGAGGCATAAAGCTCCTATTACGGCACGAAGACTATATTGAAGCACGAAGCTGTTTAATTTCTGATAGTTTCATTTTCCTAAGGCACAACGCCATTGTTAAAGCACAAAGCTTTTATTGAGACACAAAGTACAGTACTGAGGCACGAAGCCATGTTTTCTCGAAGCACATAGGTTTTCTTGCTTATATTTCATATTATCAGTTGATTGTCAGTCATGACTTTTACGATGCCTAAAATTGAAGGTTTATTAGAAGTCTTAACCATTAAGCTGTCAGAAGATAATTTTGTCAAGTGGCAGTATCAATTGCAATCTGTGCTACATGGATATGATTTGTATGGGCATTTTGATGGCACTGCTGTGTGTCCACCAAAATTTACAATCTCTGAGTCAGAGAGAGTCACAACAGAGATTACTAAAGATTATAAGTCTTGGATTCAAGTTGATAAGGCACTTTTGAGTCTTCTTATTGCCACATTATCAGATGATGCTATGGAATATGTCATAGGTTGTAAAACGGCAAGGGATGCTTGGTTGAATTTAACTAACAGATATGCCTCAGTTTCTAGAGCACGAGTTAATCAACTCAAGACTGAATTGCATACACTACATAAGGGCAGTGATTCTATTGAAAAGTTCTTGCTTAAGTTGAAACACATTAGGGATCAATTGTCTGCAGCAGGAGTTCACTTAACTGACGATGACATTATCATTGCTGCACTTAATGGTCTACCACCTGAATTTGACATGATTAAAATGGTGTTAGTGGCAAAGGAAACACCAATCAATCTTAAGGAATTCAGAGCTCATCTGTTGTCTGCAGAACTTAATATTTAATGCCAGGTTTCAGTCCTCATCCGTGCCTCATTCTCAACCAACAACACATCATTCTCAAGCAAGTCAGCCTACTAATTCATACTATAATAATAGAGGTTGAGGCTTTCACGGCAATAATAGTGGTCGTTTCAATTCTCAACCAAGGTCTTTTGTTCCCAAGTTTTCTTTTGGTCCAAAAACACAGGCAATTCCTGAATGTCAGATCTGTAATAAGAGAGGTCACACAGCTATAAATTGCTTTCATCGAATCCCTGAAAATTATGCTCATCCTCCTATTGTGGAATGTCAAATCTATGGGAAACGTGGACATATATTGCTTTAAATTGCTATCACATAGCAAATTTTGCTTATCAGGGAGCCACTCCACCTTCTTCTATACAGGCTATGATAGCACACGTGCCTTTTATGTATACTCCTGATGATCTGTGGATAACAGATAATGACGCTTCACATTATATGACTCCACATGTCTCCAATCTTATGACTGCTACTCCATATTCTTTTGAGAATAAAGTGACAGTAGGCAGTGGAAAAGGTTTGGTTATTTCTAATATTGGTACTTATATGTTGACAGATCTCCCTGGGTCTTTACATTTAAATAATGTGTTCCATGTTCCTCATCTTGCTGCCAATCTCTTATCTGTATACCAATTATGTCGAGATAATCACTGCAGGGTTATCTTTGATGAACACTACATCTATGTGCAGGACAAGCAAACCAATTAGATTTTGTACCAAGGGCAGAGTAAACAAGGCCTCTATCCTATCCCTCAGTTTGAGAACAATGCCTCTTCTACTTCCCTAGTTCAATCTAATAAATCTGCAACAGCTTCTCAGCGTTCACCAAAGGCTTTTCTAGGACAACAAGTGAAGTCCAAGCTATGGCATCTTCGATTCGGACATGAATTTTTCTTTTTTCTTTTTTGAGTACAAGTTGTCTACAAATCAAGGTCTTTTTCGCGCTAAATTTTTTGGTAAAAAATAAAAAAAAATCTTAAATTAAAACTAGGAACATTTTTTGAATTTAAACAATAGGTACATTAATCTATAAACGAATATTGAATTAATGAGAATTGATAAGAATTGATGGAATGAATATTGACAAAGAAAATCATTAAATTTCAGCAGTTTCAAAAAGAAGAAACAAAATGAATGGTAAAAGAATTAATAAATAAACAATCAACATCCAGACCAAAAAAAAAAAAGCCACCAATGGCAAAGAACAAATTTTTCAAAATTTAATAAGAAACAAAAAGAAAAACGTCCCCTCATTTTTGTTTTTTGTTTTTTTATACCTAATGGCGGCTCACCCCATTCGTTCAATATTTATGATTAAAAAAAATAGTACTTGTCTAATATATAACTCCTCACATTTTCTATTTCTTAGACATATACTTATCACTCTATAAATCTATGTGTTAAACCTAATTTCAAACTTAAATGCATTGTAGGCTATAAGAGGTCATAAACTAGTATTCTTATATTTTTACATCGTTGCCACAAAGACTTCAAAAAAGCACACCCCACGATTTTCATCTGCAAATGATCACTCAGTCCAACCGTTACCTTTTCTCCAAAACAGTTTACCTCCATTTCAGCCTTGCTTCAATTTACTATTAAAAATAAACAATTCAAATCGAGAAAATGGGGACCACAGATTGGAAATCATGCTTAAAAGTCAAGCATAACGCTAAAAACGAATGATGACGTATTTTTTGGATATTCATATTTCTTTTAGATTTAATTTTTAATTATAAAATAAATAGTCCATTAGGACATTATTATTATATTCTTTTAATATTTTCATACTCTTACGTTCTAAATACTAGCTCATTGGCACATGTGTGCGGTTTTATTTTTCATTTTTAGAATTAAGAAAAGATAATATGGGTAGTTATGTTCTATAAAAGTAGAACCTATTATCTGATATTTTTTTAAATTTTAAATTTTTTAGTATTAAAAAATACGAATTTACCATATTATCCTCATTTAATTAATAATAATCAATTAGCCTTGCCCACTAGATGTGTTAAACGGACCAGGCT